GAGAGAGAGATGAGAGAGAGGAGAGTGAGATGAGAGAGATGAGAGAGAAAGAGAAGAAGGACAAGGAGGAGAAGGAGAAAGAGAAGGAGGAGGAGAGGAAGAAGAAGCAGGAGGAGGAACAGGAAAGAGGAAGGTAAAGAAAAAGAGGGGGAGAAGAAGAATGTGTGTGGTAGAAGCTAATAGACATTGGTCTTCACTGAGTACTTACTGTGATCAAAGTGCCATGCGAAACTCTTTATGTGAATTATTTCTTTGCTCCCTCCCAGAAGCCCAGTGAGGTCAGCACTATTATTGTACCCACTTTACTTCTGAGGTAGTTGTGTAATTAGTCCAAAGCAGGTAGGACTGTGAACCCAGGTGGTCTGACTGCAACCATCTGTAAGTATTACAGGTTACTGTGTTTCTATAAAAGGGGCCCAGGTGTCCCTCTTGGTGTTTCTGTTCTAGCTGACTTGGGTGAGAGCAGAAAAAAAATGTGGAACCTTCACTGCTGACAGAGGGAGAGCCCCGCTAGAACGCTGTTCCCACTTCACACACCACAGATTCCAGACAAACCAGTCTGCAGCCTGGAGCCTAATTCCTGTCACTGCCTCCATCCTCTCCTAAAAATAGATGTTCATTAAAAACCAAATTGCCTGAGTCTTTTTCTGACTTAAAGCATCTTACAACCATCAACACATGGGAAGGCAGAGAAAAATTCTATGTCTGATTTTAATAAAATATACTTTTCTTTTCATCAAAATATTGTGATAGCATGGAAAAAGAGATGCATGCTCATTAAAGTTTAATGAATGTCTCTCCCTGCCATTTTCCACTTTCCATATGCAGATCATACACTGTGACTCAGGCATGGTAGTTGGCGGGAAGAATGTAATCCAAGGTGGGGTCCATCAGGATGTAAGCACATGTCCACTGGCCACCTGCCTTGCTTGGGCTCCATGTTGTTCCAGGTTGGCCTCTATTTGCTCTAAAAAGGGGGCTCGTTAAGAATAGCTGCAAAGTTGCTGCCAGGAAACTGCAGCCCCATGCTGAGCTGGGGACTCCCAGAATAAAATGGTGACTTGGGCAAATGCTTTGAGGAAGAGAAAGAAAAGAGATACCAACTCTCTGGAGGAGGGCAATAATGTTATATTCATGCTCCAGAGTTTTCACTGAAGTCTTTGGTCATGAACTAAAATATAAAGCTCTCATCCGAAAATTTTAGACTCATCTTAAAATGGCCCCAAGCTGTTCTAAATTTATAACCACTAGTCCCCTGCTTCCAGCCTCGACTCTGGCCACAGCAGGCTTCTAGTTGCTTCCCACATCTGCCATCTACCACTCTTCTTGTCCTTGGTTAGGTTTTTCCCTAGGATCTGGAGATGTCTCTTCATCCATTGCTACTGCTTGAAATGCTGTCATTCATTGAGGATTATCAATTGCTCTACAGCCATAATTTTTGATACCCCACTTCACCCAAACTCATGATTGGGAGGTCTCTCTCCCATGAAAAATACAGACACTTTGTGAAGGCGGTCACCATCTTCCACTTTCTGTGGAAGTTCCAGTGTGAGAGCAATGTAGCCTAGTGGTTATCTGCAAAAGACCTGGGTTAGGAGCTTCACTCTTTCCTTTAGCAGGCACTTGCTCATGGGTGAGTTGCTTATGAACAGTAACAATGACAATAATATCAACAACCAACATACTTGGCACTGACTTTGATGTGGACTTAGGTATCCATTAACTCATTATATACTCACAACAACTCTATGAAGGAAGTATTGCCATTATCTCACTTTTACAGATGCCAAGAAAGAGAAGTGATGTGTCCATGGTGACACACTTATTATATTGAGAAAAGAGGTTTTGAACTCACATAGTTTGGCCCCAAAGCCCATGCTTTGACCTTCTCCTTAGTTTTCTCATCTGTAAAGTGTGGATTATAATAATATCTATCTCATAAGATGGTACTGAGGATTAAATAAGATAATACTAAAGAAGTATGATAATACAGAGCTCAGTAATTTCTAGCTGCTATCATTGTCATTGCGGTATTCTGGTCTTTTCCTTTCTGCTGCCCGTGAGCTAAGAATGGAAGGTCATGTCCTCCTAACCCTTGGCTCACATGTCATCTCACCGTGCCCAGTACATTCATAGCAGTGAACTTGAGAGGTTCTGGGGCCCATGTCAGCTGGGGCCCATGTCAGACTCAAAGTGATGCACAAAGAGTTCTAGCATTGCTGAAACCGGTTTGGCTCAGTGGATAGAGCATCAGCCTGCGGACTTAAAGGTCCCAGGTTTGATTCCGGACAAGGGCATGTACATTAGTTGTGGGCACATCCCCAGTAGGGGGTGTGCAGGAGACAGCTGATCCATGTTTCTAACTCTCTATCCTTCTCCCTTCCTCTCTGTAAAAAAAAATCAATAAAATATATATTTAAAAAAAGAGTTCTAGCATTTTCCTACAATTTGACAACTCTGTTCCTCTGAGCCATTGTGTGTGTTTTTTTCTTTTTCTTTTCTTTTGTTGCATTTAGCTCCCTCTCCAATTTCTGTTTTATTTAGTTTATTTGATTTTTCTCCCTAAGGTCTCCTAATACTTCAGTGTAACATTTTCTTTCTCTTCCCTCCTTCCCCTCTGCTCTTCCTTCCTCTTTCCTTTCCTCTTTTCCTCCCTTCTTTTCCCACCCCTTCTCCCCTTACCCTCCTGTCTTCCCTCTGTGTCTTTCCCTCCCTAAGTCACTTGCAGGATGAGGGCTGCCATCTGTATTTCATTTGTCCAGCAGGCTAGGCTGCCTCCCAGGCATCCAGGCCATTAGTTTCTGGAATCAGGTTTCTCACAGCTCAGGGACACTGGGGTAGCTTTTACAGTGTGAGGTGCTTTACCCAGGAACACCCCTTCTCCTGCTGGGACTTAGTTTGTTTTGAGGTTAATGCGGTTAATGGGGTTAGTGGTTAAGGGGCAGCTCACGCAAAGCTGCCTCTTGCCCCCTGCCTCCTACCTCCTGCCTCCTGCCTCCTGCCTTCTGCCTCCTGCCTCCTCTCCTGAACAATCTCTGCTCTGGACAGAAGCCACAATGTCCATTTCTCTCAAGCTTGAGTCCCAATCAAACGGCTCTGCATCTGAATAAGTTTCCTTAAGAAACAGCATCCCTGACACCTTAATGGAAATTAAAAATAAAACAAAAACACAACTTTTTAAAAAGTGCACCCTCCCTGCCCAGCTCCCTCGGCTTGTTGGAGATGGTGTTTGATTCTGTCCCCGGGGAACAAAACTGTTCTTTAAGTAAACCCAGAAGATAACTAACAAATAATCCTTCAAATTAATAACGTCTAAGGGATGAAAGTTATTAGTTCCTTTTATACATCCACTGCATTATCAGCAGTGCCATTAAATTTTGTTTCATGCTGTGGTTTGATCATTGTGCAGGGTGGAATACTCTCTCCCAGCCCTTCCCAGGGACAGGCTGTGGCCTCATAACTGGGGAAAGCAGGCAGGCCTTGCTCTGATGGGAAAGGGTCAGGGATGCCTCCAAGTGCAGCTGGGAGGACCCTGCAGGCTCCGCCCCATGTCTCCCAGGGACAGCAGGCCACGGGGGCAGCCTGCCCACTGAGGGTGCTGGGAAGGCCCCCTGCTTATGGTACCCAGTGCCTCACACTATTGGGTTCATGCTTTCACCGATTGAGGGCACCTCTGGAGGGACGCCAATGCACTTCCCCATTTTGCCTTTGTTTCTTCTTCTACCTGCAGGCCCTGAACATCCTCATTTTAGTTTGCCTCTCAAGGCCTGTGGGAGGAGACTGGAGTGAAATAACCAAAGATGACGATGGAGGCCTTTCTAGATAGATATGCAGGGCCTGGGGTTCTTGTCCTCAGAGGGCACTACATGTCTGTGTTTGGATGAGCTTTGTCCTGGGGTGACTCACTATGGTGGTCAGCAGTGTCATCCACATGTCTTGAGACCCAACAAAAGCTGCCACTTTGAATGCTACACAACAATGATTCATTTTACAAATGATCCACAGAAAGTTATTTATAAAACACAAGGCCTAATTCCCCCTTCCTAGCCCATTGCCCATCTCCCAACTCTAGGGGGATTTAAAATGTGAACATTTTGTCTAACTTTGATTTGTCTATCACTTTGAGGAATGCAGTTCAGGAGCTGTGCTAATCACTCAGTCACTTCATGAACAATGTTCTCCAGCAGCCTAGGGAGGCCTGGCAGGAGGCGTGGCACTCCCAGAACCCTGCTATGGGCTGGGTACCTGCTCACAGGGTGGGAAGGCATCAGGTACTGCCTCTGCCTCGAGACACGGGAGCACACAGGCTGCCATAGTCAGCCCTCCTCCACCAAGCTCCTTTCGGTCCCCTGAGCAGGGATTTCTGGTGCTCAGTGGGGAGAAAATGTTAAAACTACTAGCCAAGTGGGCAACAAAACACCCCCGTGGTGACACAAGTCAGGAAGGTGGTTATCTTGGTGACAGGGAGGGGTTATTTAGGGGAAAAGGCATGAGGGCATTTTCTGGATGAAAAGTCATCGCCATCGCGCTGACCTTTCTGTTTGTGCATTCTACTGGCTACAGCTACATCTCTGTGAACAGCAGTGCTGTCCAAAGTGCAGGCGGAGACAATCCAAGTGGTTTCCTTCTCATGCTGTGCCTGACCCACTTTATGCCGGAGGCAGTGAGAATTCTAAGTATATGTATCCATTACACATCTTTATCTTCCTCCACAAGTGTGATCATACCTACAGGTTATATTTATATCTGCAGCCAGATCTATATATTTAGATCTGGAGAGGAGAGAAAAGTGTTACATGTGCATATCTATATATAGGGTGGTTTACTTCTTTCAAAGAACAGGAAGATCCTAGCTCCATTTTTTTTTTTTGAGCGCGCGCGCGCGCACACACACACACACACACACACACACACTCACTCACTCACAGTAAAACACAGTAAGCCTGAACAACTAATCAACCATCTTGCTCTTCTTCCTTGTCTGAGATGCTAACACTGACCTTGATGATGATCTTGGGGATGTTCAGCACAGTGGACTTCTGCTTGGCCAGAATATCCCTGGTCTCATTGACACGAGCTGTGACAAAGAAGTGCAGGGACGCTTGCTCCAGCAGCTGGCCCATGTACTCGCCGGCTCTGACCAGCACCTCCTCTTTCTTGACTGGCAGAGGGAAACAAACATGCTGGGTGTCAGGACCTGAGACGGGACCCGCTTTCCTTCCCCCGAGTGTCCCATCTTTCCCACATTAGCACAGCACCCACCGAACAAAGTAAAGGTGAGGCAGAGGCAGATGGAACAGAGTCAATCAGGGATAAGCTCTCCCCACTCTGGGTAAAGAAAGAATATGCTGGAAATCTAATATTCAATAAGGTCTTACTGGAGAAAATGTGCCAGATTTTTCAAACAGTGCTTTTGCTGTTGTAAAATACGATGCTATGTCTGAAACCAAGGACTCGGGGGTTTTGACTGCAGCTGTTTGGTTTGGGTAGGGCCAACCAGAGGGTGGCAGGAGTGGAGTGGTGATGTTCAAGGACGCTATTCCACGTGCCGACCCCTCGTGCAATAAGCAGCATCTCGTGCAGGCCTTGGGCCACGCTGGAGCAACACCGTCAGTCACCCAAACCTTTTCCCCCTGTAGCTCCACGTTTTCTTTCCAGCTTTTTCTCTACTATCTGACATGATTTTTCTACTGAAGAGAAAGAAGCTGTTGAAACCAGTTTTCGCCATAGGCATTCGGCTTCCTCCCACCTCCTCTCCTGTTTGTCACTCAGCAGGCCTCTGTGCCAAAAGCTTGTTTTTTCACTTCACTGAGGTCAGCTTTCAGGAGGACTTCTGGAGTGGGAGGGGGTCTGGCTCCCTCTGCTCATCGTCAGGCTGGGGATGGGGACTCTACCTTGTGGCTCTGGCCACAGCAATGAGGTTCTCTGTGGCTGCATCACCCACTTTCTCTCTCTCTCCTTTCCAGCAGCCCAGGATTCTAGAGAGCAAAGCGCAGTCCTGCTGCAGGCTGGCCTCAGGCCCCAGTGGCCACAGCTGCTGCTACCTGCCCGGGCAGGGCCACGTGCTGGTGTGGCATCATCAGCCAGCCGCCCAGCAGGAAAACGGCGACTCGTGCCTCCACCCCCAGGTGCAGAGCACAGGGTCCGTAGGCGTTCAGAGAATGGCACATCTCCACCACTGTCTCCCCGCCCAAAGCCTGCCTTTTGCCAAAGATTCCTCCCTCTTGCAAAAGTTATTAAAGGAAATAACTGCTATGGTTTGCAGTTTTGGGGGCAGAGCGTAATTCATGACAGCCCTCCATACTGAGCAGCAGCCCCTGCAGCCAGGAAGGAAGGCTGTGTGGAGACCTGCACTGGAGCACAGGGAGACTTCTTGGCGGCTGGCTCACAGTGAGAGGCATCAGCACCCACTTGGAAGCTCCGCACAGAGGAGCAGGTGCTGTGGCCGCATCCAGCCCTCTGGCCAAAGAGTTCCCAGTCTTGGCTCCACATCACCGTCACCTGGGGCTATTTAAGAACCTTCCCTAGTGGGTCCCACCCCACATCGATTAAATCAGAATCTTAGGGGCCCAGGCTCAGTGAGGTGGACTCTGGTGTGCAGCCGGGGGCTGAGAAGTGCCCCAATCCTCAGGGGCTCCCCACAGAATCAGCCCTGACATAGGGGCAAGAATAGCTTTTCCAACCCAGGCCTGCTGCTCCCAGTGTGGTCTGTGGGCCAGCAGACACCACCACCAGGAGCTTGATATAGACGCAGGTTCTCCAACCCACCCCACCAGCTGCCAAGGTCTGCCCTTGATGAAGCTGCCCGATGATAGCTTTGCAGGTTTGCAAAACTCCCAGAGCCAGGGGGTTTTACAGCGGAAGTGGCAGAGCTAAGGTGGAATTAGGACAGTCTCAGTTTTAAAATAGAAAGCTCTGTACCCTGGAACTTAATCAATTCCTGGCAAACTGGAAAGGCTAGTGAGTCCAGACCAGTGGCTGTCAACTGAGGGCGATTTTGTTCCCCCCACCCTTCGCCATATTTGGCAATGGTTGGGACATTTTTGGTTGTCAGAACTGGCTGCTACTGGCAGGTATCCAGTGGCTAGAGGACAGGATGCTGCTAAACATTGTGCCATGCACTGGATGCCTGTGGCCATTATCCACAGTCAGGAATGTGCATGGCACCTCTGCTGAGAAACTGCCCTGGGCTACACAGAGTTGTTAGAAGGCATTGGTCTGTCTTATACAAGTGCTAACGGACTAGGATTGATTGCTGGGCAGTCCTGCTCCATTCAGAGCCAGCCTTTTGAATTTATGAACTGGCTTTGATGTTGGCCCTTGAATTCTGTATTTTTTAATGACCAATCATGCTGCCTTTTTTGGGCCTGAGCCTAGATTCCCCTTTCCATGGCTCCCCCAGAAATTAATTGTCCAGATGAATAAGACTCTGCCCCCTCGGTTAGATGCAATCTCAGATGAGCACATGGGGCCTGCTTTTCACTTCCCCAGATCTTCACAGATGGAGTGGCAAAATGACAGGCCTTGAAGAACAGGCATTTTGCCTCAATCTACCACCAGTAATAAAACATGGGCATCTTTTGGCTCTTTCTACACAGCTGTTTGGCCACTGGGTTCCTTTAGGAGGGTGGGATATGTCTGACTTCTTTCCAGAAATCTTTGCAGAGGCTCTTGTTATCTTTACAATGTCCGCACTAGGACCCCTTTATCTCGGGGGCAGAACATTCTCTAAATCATAGCACCGAGGAAACTGGGCTGTGTTTCCAGCCCAAGAGAACAGTGCTCCTGAAATAGTATGTTATGTAAGTGCTGTGTTTTGCCACCACACAAGAAATTGTTCTAGATAAAGTTTATTAAATGTGGCAAGAGAAAGAAGAATAGATTTTCATTCTATGAGCGGTGGAGCTGGGATCCTGCCAATATCATTTACGGTGTCTGGGGAAAGCCAAGGGAGACACAGACTGGAGCTGCCTCATCTCTTTTCCAAAAAGCAGAGAAAACTAAATATAGCCAAGTGGAAATGATAGCACCTTTGAAGGTACTGGAAGGTTTAAGTTATTCAAGTCTTTCAAGCTGACTCTAGCCCACACAGTTTCTTTAATCATCAATCTGGAAAGTATGCCTCCCATTCTACTTGGGAAACTTTCTTTGCAATACAGCCTCCTAGCAATGTACTCTGACCTTTTAAATCAAAGTCTAGAATCATATTTTGCAATATTGTGCAATTTATTTTATATTGCAATATGCAGCTTATTGCATGCAGTCAATGTCCCCCATCTGTAGGGCAAAGCAAGAAATAGTCTCCAACTCCCTTCAAAATATTACAGGACAAGCCTTGGGGTGGGCCGAGAGGGTGAGATCTGTGTTAATATGAAGCCTGGCCTAGGTTTGGTCAGTGACTGGGACTGGGAGGGCTAATGTAGTACGTCATCCTAGCTTACTAATTCATATTGGATTAGGGAGAGGAGAAGGGGATGTAAAGATGGGGCTCTTGTGACATGGGAAAAGGATTGCTCCTAGTTCCCTGTTTAGGGAAGGGAGGAGCAGCTGGATGCCAGGTAGCAAGGGCACAAGTAAGGAACTGGCCCACTTAGGGCCCAAGGTTATGGCAATTTAGTTCACTGTCCCTGCCTGAATTGGAGTCGGCTTCTGTTATCTGTTTTGCCTTTAATTACTGTGCATGACCTTGAACACATCAACTCATCTTTTCAGTCTCAGTTTCCCAAAATGTAAACACGTTGGAAGTTAACATTTACTGAGAGCCTACCATATGTGATCCATTTCAAATATATTTATCTCATTTAGTTTCCTCCTCACTCGCCTTCTCTCACACCACACATCCAATCTGTCAGCCAATCCGGTGGGCTCTACCTTCAGAACATCTGACCAGTTCTCACCACCTCCCTCGTTACCCCGCCATCTCTCGCTAAGCTACTGCAATAACATCTCCAAGCGTTAGCCCTACTCCCCCAAGAGCCTATTCTCAGTACAGCAGCCAGAGTGATCTTGCCGAACCCAAGTCAGATCTTGCCATACTTCTGCTCAGAACCCTCTAATGGTTCTTTCAGCTCACTTGGAAACAAAGCCAACATGCTTACATGCCTACAACTCTTCATGGCCTTCGCCCACCATTCTCACCTTGCCATTTTTGTTCCTGACTCTGGTCTCTTTGCTGTTCAATGAACACATCAGATATGATCTGGCCTCAGGGCCTTTGCACTTACGGTTCCTTCTGACTAGAAAGTTCACTCTTGCCTTTCTGTAAGGTTTCTTTTAAATGGTTTCTTCCCAACCACCTCATCTCTACCACCACTTCTTCTCTTGCTTAGCTTGCTTTCTATTTCCCTATTACAGGTTCAACCACACTATATATTCACTTGTTTGATTGTTTATTGTTGAGCCCTGCCCCACCACAGGTGACTACAAACTCCATGAGGGTAGTGAGAACTTCTGTTTTGTTCATTGCTATGTCTCCAGCATAAAGCATTTATTTATAAGCACAAAATAAATGCTTGAGTAGTGAATCCCCAACCCTGTGATGTGGGTGGTATTGTTTCTATGTACAGATGGGGAGAGTGAGCTCAGATGACTAGGGTAGCTTGCCTGGGGACACACAGCTAGTCATACCTCAATCCAGATTTGTCGCACTCCAAGGCTCAGGCTCAAAAGGTCACTGCCTCTGCCTGCACTGAACAGCTGAGATGGCTCTTCTGCTCCGAGTCCTTTACCACTTCCCTCTCCGATGCTCTTTTCTACAGGGATTCCCTTTCTACCTCCAGGCATAGAAAAAGCACTACTCTTCCAGCTTCCAAAGAAAACACCATGCTGATGGGTTTCCCAATTGTTAAAGCCACGTTACTGAAGTGAGGGAGCTTGGCTTCCTCCCCCAAGTTTGGGTAGGTTTCTTAGGATTGGGATTTTGGGGACTAGCTTCCTATTTTTCTGGGAATTTCTTTCTGAACTTAGTGTGAGTGACCTGGGACAGACAACAAATGCAGAAAGCTTTAAAACTGTGGAAATGTGGTTTGGTCCTATGCTCCGTAAAACTTATTATTCATATACCCTTTTTTCTTTTCTTTTTTAGTGTCAACACATCTGGTCCACAAAAGCCTGATGTCCGGAAGTGTTCAGGTCCTTTCTGACCTGTCCTATGTAACTCCATGTGCTCTGACTGCAGACCAGTTCCTTCCGATTGACTAATTTTGCCAATTGTGTGACCAACTGCTGTGCCCACTAAATACTAGGACCCCAAGAAATGAAATTGATTGAAAGTGAAACCCTCAGTGCAAAGTGCAGCATGTCCATTCCAATCCCACTTAAGATATTCCAGAAGGAGATGCTGGGAGGGGTCAAGGATGAGAAGCCCTGAAGAGATGGTAGAGAGCGCAACCCCCCTTGGAGGCTCCTGGACAGCACACCCCAGCCTCCCATCTCCTCTCCCCAGGCTGGGCTCTCTCCTGTCCTTGTGCATCAAACAGATCCATTTTCAAAAATGGTCTTTATGCAGAGCTTAGCTCTCCCTGCCTTTTAAATGGTAAAGCAGCACCCACCATTCCTGCGGGAGCAGCCCTGTGCCCCCAAAGCCTAACTTTGGGAGGGAGACACCAGCAGGGGGCCTGTGTGTTGGGATGTGTCCTTCACAAGCTTTCCTGTGCACTCAGTGCCCTTGGGATCTTGTTAAAATGCAGATCCTCACTGACAGGCCTGGAAGGGCCTGAGAGTCTGCATTTCTCACCATCTCCCCAGGGATGCCAATGCTTCAGGTCCTCAGCCCACACTTTGAGTCGCAAGAAGTTACACTATATTTACTTTCCAGGACTCCTGGGGCTGGCTCACGACTTTGAAAATTTCAGTGTTTACTTCTGTGCAGGAGGCATGAGGATGAAAGGCGAGGTCTCTCTAAATAAAAGAAGTTGGTTCTCCCATGTGGTCTCCCTGAACTCTGGGGCAGAACCTTCACTCAGTAGAAAGTTATTAGGGGTGTTGGGCCTGAGCCAGACAGAGAAGCAGGTCTCAGGTCCCAGAGAGAACAGCCCCCCGGTTAGCTTACAGGACAAGGGATCCAGAGCCACATCAAATGTCTCCTTCTTGAATTCCTCTTTGGAGACGCCAGTGTAAAAGGTGATGTTGCCCGAGAGATAGGCTGAGATGGTGTAAGCTTTTGGGCTGTTGTTCTGGAAGGTGATGGTGACCTTGAAGTCCTTTCCCAGCACGGCGTTTTCCACTTCAAAGTCCATGTCCACGTCAGATTTCGATTTCATAATGTCTTCCGTGTTGAGGGCCTTTTTAACCCCGTACATCAGGGCAGTTTCCAGGGCCAGCCTCTCTTCTTTTTGACCTAGGAAAGATGCAGATGGGAAAAGAATGATGGGAAAAGAAGCGTAGTCCCTCAAAGAGAAGGTCGTGGTACTGCACCCCCTGAGCTGCGGGCCCCGTGTGCTGTGCCTGCTGGATTGCCTCTGGGAACCACACCGCTTCCTTTGAGGCAGATGCCCAAATCATTCCGATGTTACAAATTCTGCCAAATCAAGTCTCAGCCAGTCATGACCTGCCCGGATTGCAGAGTTAGGCGGCATCCCAGGGCCTGTCTGAGAAGGGATTGCTAAGGGGCTTGCTCTCACTGTCATTTCTGCAGGATCACTATTTCAGGGGTAAGAAGGTAGAAGAGGCAAAAATGTGGTATCAGTTGCTTCCCTCCCCAACTGCTGGCCACATAGCTAGAAATTGAAGATCTCTAAGCAAAGATTTTGACAATAGTCACATTTGGTCAGCCCACCTTCTGCATTTGAATTTCCCCCTTATTCATGGCTCTCCCCAACGAGACCCATCTTCCTCATCGCTCTTTCCACTTGGGCCTGCTCCATCTGCTCCTGCTAAGGTGGACCTGGGCAGCTCATCCTGCCCTCCATTCCGCCCTCCATTGCCACTTATTCTTGGCAGAGTTAGAGATCCCTGTTTCCCAAACAGTGCACTGCATTGTACTCTCTGATCTAGCAAACCGTTAACAAGCCTTCCTGCAGAAGGACTGAAGGCCAAGTTTCCTTGGGGAGCACTGGGTTCTCTAGTGCCTCCTGGATGGTCACATGTTCAATGACCTATGGAAGGTTCAGAGATTGTGCCCTCCTAGGGAGACTTGTGTAACAAGATTTCCCAGTCATCTGACACGGAACACATTGTTGGGATGGTGGTGCTATTTGAGACATGTGCAGTTTTTAGAAATACGTCTTATGTAGTGGTGGTGATGGGGATGAAGGTATGGAGAGGAGAAGAGAGGAGGAGACTGAAAACTTGCTTTGTACACGTGCAAAAGTGAGAAATACAGGTACAAGTTAGGCCTCAGAGCCTGCTGCTCCCGAGTCCAAACTGGGCTAACATTCCTTACCAAGTACAGAACCAAATGCTTGGCTTTGGGTGACAGGGATTGAGGAGGTGTGGACAGATAGTTGCTATTGTCTTTACCATCCTAATTACTTTGGATGTATTTCAGTGCATGTGGCAAATAGAGAGGCAAATATTTTTTGGCTTCTAAAAAGTAGTCATGGGATTGGCCAGCAAGAAAAACAGTAACACACAATAACTTCAAAATAAAAATGCTGGCTCTTATTTATGTTAATTTTAAGATATTATCTTTCACTTTACTTAGTTTATAATAAAAAGCAATGGAGATGAAGAGGTCAAAAGGTTATCCTTGTGATGGGTGTTGTGGTAAGTACATACCATACACTATCTCATTTAATCCTTAGAGTAAAAAGGCAGGGGCACTGTTACTACCACCCGTTTCCTGGTTTGTAAAACAAGGAAGCCAACATCAAAGGGTTGTTAGGTGGATTAGAGGTATTATATGCATAAGGATTGATTGGCAGCTGCTAGTAATTTGCAAAGACAAAGAAAATGCCAGCATGTGTTGCAAACAATCAAAAATGCGTATGTGTGTGTACATGTGTATTAACAATTGCTCTGATTGTCAAGATTGCCAGGAGATGCCAGAAACAATTTATCTAAGACAAGCATTGGCTAGAGTACATGTTTGCAGATCAATACGGGGAGATAGTAATAAAGGGAAGGAGGACTGTGACAAGGAAAGTGCAGTGAAATACTTTAGCAGAATGCATCTGGCAGATAGCTCTGCGAGAAAGTGAGCACTGATGGCTATCACTTTGGATGGATACCAAATATGCATTTAGGCGAAATGCAGGGGGCGAGCAGCAGCAGCAGGAACATGGTCAGAGAGGTGCCTACTTGGAGGGGAGAAGCTGAGCTGGCTGGGATGAGGGGAGGGAGCAGTGGAGGCTTGTGAAGATAAGAGACTTTATTCGGTATCATGTCATAGATGGAGGGACCTCTACCTTCTGTGAGCAGGGGTGCCAGGCAGAGCAGGCTGGGCTGTTATAGGAAGCACAGACCCTGATAGGAGGCAGGAGCTGTGGGCCTCTGGCACAGGCAGAACCTCTGTCACTCTGCAGTTGTGCTTAATGTTCTGATGTCTCAAATGATTCAGGCCACAGATTCAGTGCTGTGAGAGAATGGCCTACAGCCAGATTCCATTGTTTGAGACTCCTCCATCTGGAAGGTCTGTTAACTGGAATGCAATTAGAGTGCCTTCTTCCCATTTGTTTGGATCTTAGCTCAAATGTCACCTTCTCAGAGTGCCCTCCCTTCCTTCCTCCTGTGTAAATGTCCCTAGTCCTCTCAACTCTCACTAACATATCACCTGGCTTTATTGCCTTTTGCCTGTACTTGTCACTATGTGATGTTATTCCTCTGTTATAACACAAGCTCCTTGTCCTCCAGACCTAGGACCTAGCCTGGCATAGAGACTCCAAAAGACTGAGGTTTGGAGAAGCCCTCTGCCTTCATCCAGACCAAAATTTCATCTTTATAATGGACTAGAGGCCCAGTGCATGAAATTCGTGCATGGGTAGGGTCCCTAGGCCAGGCGGGTAATCAGGGCCTTTTGGCTGCTGGCTGGGGCCTTCCTTCATCCCTTGCCACCTCCTGGTGGTCAACGCACATCATAGTGAGCAAATGAACTCCTGGTCTTCTGGTCAAACTCCCAAGGGGACACTTTGCATATTAACCTTTTATGTACACTGAGTGGTGAAATTATTATGATCTCTGAATGCATAATCTGGCCACACACTGAGTGCCCAGATTATTAGAGGCCCGGTGATTTTGTGCTTGGGTGGAGTCTGGCCAGTCTGGCCAAGGGGAAGGGACATGGGAGGTTGGCCGGCCTGCCTGCTGGTTGAACTCCTGGTTGAGGGATCAATTTGCATATTAGCCTTTTATTATATAGGATATGCACTGAGTAGCCAGATTATTATGCATTCAGAGATCATAATGATCTGGTCACTCAGTGTATATAGACTAGAGGCCCGATGCATGAAGATTTGTGCAAGAATGGGCCTTTCTTCCCTTGGCTGCTGGCATCATCTTTGCTCCAGCCTGGGGCAGTCTTTTCACCTTTCTATGCTGCCCAGCAGCCCAGAATGGCTGGGGTGGTATTGAATGCCTGCATCATTATCATGATGATGACTCAGGCATCTGCTTTGCCCCCAGCCAGTCAGCACCTGCATATGCAAATTAACCCTCCATCTTTGTTGGGTTAATTTGCATACCCATTCCTGATTGTCTGGTTGGTGTTGTGAAAGTATGGTCAATTTGCATCTTTCTCTTTTATTAGTGTAGATACCAAACAGTCCAGTGTAGGACATTTGATGTTCAATTAGACTCACCTGTGAAAGTGCCACCTGAGTTACCACTCATTTGATATCAAATGCTCTAATATCAGGTGTTGTGCTCAGGTGAGATGCACAGCCTTTCCTGTAGGAGTCTGGCAGTGAAGAGAGGTCACCATTCACCCAGAGGAGCAGGGAAGGCTTCTCAGCATTTCCCCCTCCACAGGGAGAACAAAGGCCTGGAGGCAAATGGCAGCTTGGTTTATTAGAGGAACTGTGCAGCTCACCTGGTTGCTACTTATGATAACTGCCCATGTGGTTAGCAGGGGCAGTGAGGGGACAAAAAGGAAGATGGCATGGGTGTGGCCATGCTCTGATTGAAACACCCTGGAGATGACAAAAGAGAGGGAGAGCTTTTAAGTAGTGCGGCAACCAGGCTCAGGTTTACATTTTAAATATGCCACTTTGGCAGCAATGCAGGGTTTACAATGAGGGAAAGAGGATACGAGGAAAGGGAATTGGAAGCTGTAGCAGGTATCTAGGAGAAAAGCCATCATAGCCCAAGCTAATAGTAGTGTATAGTAAGGATAATACAATTACTAGCGGTAGCAGCAGCTTACTTTTATGGGACACTTTCTAGGTAGCAGGCACAATGCTAAGAATTCTCCACACATGATACCACCTGATTCTCAGAGTGGCCATGGAGATCAGGAGGGGCAGGGAAGGGAAGATGTTTCAGAGGGACACTCAGGTTTATTGCACCTGGTGGATTGTGGTTCCTTCACTGAGGTAAATCTAGGGAGGGAAGGGAGTGGAAGAGGTGACATTTGGGAAGCTTCCATTTCAAGTTTCTGTGGGACTTTAGGTAAATGTGGAGCTGAAAAGTGAAGTCTAAATTGGGGTCAGCGATTTGGGAGTGAGCAGTGTATATGTGGAAGTAACACCAGCTGTAGAAAGAACACAAGGAAACGAGCATAAACCCAAAAATGTAAGTCTAGAATGAAGTCACATTTGGAGGTAATAAGGAAAGCAGAGCTTGGGTTGGGGGGACAGGAGATAGAGCAAAGAACCAAGCAGGTTGGGATGGAACCAGGAGACATTGCATCATAGAAACAAAGAAAACCAAATTTCAAACTTGGGAGTAATAGCATGAAAAGGTGTAGAAAGGTCAGGCAAGCTGAAGTCTGCAAATGTTTCTTCCACATGGCAGTCAGGTTGGGTTTCAGTGACCCTGAGAAGATCTTCAAGGATATGTTGGTAGCAAAATGTAGGGCATGGTAAGTGAGGAATATAAGGGAAAGGAACATGGCAGACTGCCAGGTGCAGGCAGCTCTCTCAGGACACCTGGCCATGGAGGCAAGGAGGAAGAAAGTGCGGGCATGTTTGGTAGGGGATATATTGTTGGAAAAGATTTTGTAAACTCTTTAAACACTGAAGTGATAATGAAAAAGAGCTAACAGAAAAGGAGAGAGAAAAAATACAAGTGACAGGGAATCACTGATGGGGCGATGAGGAAATGAGTTCCAGGTACCATCATGAAGAAGATATATTGCCCAGAAGAAGTTTTAAGGATGCTGGCTTTCAAAGTTTTATAGTATAAAAGGTATAAAATTAATGTTAAGCTTTAGTTTGTCCAAGTGAAAAATGATCTATCCACAATTTAGTTAATTAAAATAGCAAATTCTTAAATATGGTAATAATTCCTCTTTTAGGTTTTTACTCATCTCTAAAGTTTAGTGGCCTCACTCAGAATCTGTGGATAGAGAAATTGTATGAAAGATTCAATAATGAGAACCAGCATGGCAAATACACAGCCATGAATGCTGGCTGATCTTTCCTAGATGCCCATGACAGACATCGATAATCACCCACTCTTTTCCACTACATTTGAGAGCAGTCTCAGCATCTTCCTCTAAACAGTTCTCCACTTAGTCATTCCCAAAGCTGGAATTTGAAATGCATACACCATCTTTGATTAAGAGGCCAATTATCCATCTACTTAGGATTAAACTCTAATCCAGAAGCAGATGGGTGTTTCTTACAACTACCTATGGGAATTTAGGGGCACTTCTGTTTAGACCAGACCTCCACATGGTCCACCTATCTGAGCCTTACCTTCTTGTCAAACTCTTGGCCCAGATTGCAAATGTCTTCCTCATTTGGAGTTGACACACTTTATTTTTTTTAATCTGTTGTCCACCCTTGGCCAAGACCTCACTCTTTTTTTTGTAGACTGCCTTTGGGTCCTTCCTTTCTTGACATCTGACCTTAATTTGGACTTCACTGCCACCTCCACTGCTGACAGCTAATGGCATTCTGCTGTGAGGTTAGACAAGACAGCTGATGGCCTGGACAGCTCCTTGTAGGCTCATTGCTTGTTTTCTTGTCTGATCAGGATTAGGAGAGTTTATCTCTAATCCTTATCCAGCTGCCTCTTTCTGAAGAACTCCTTCCCCATGCTTCACCTAGCCAATTTTCATCTTTCCATCTCAGTAGCCTCACTAACATCCTCCAGAATCCCCGAGACTGGCTTGTGATTCCCTTCTCTGTGCTCTGCACACATCCCACAGCTTGGTGAGAGTTTGCTCCCTGCTGCTCTCTCCAGCTAAATGGGAAGGCAGGGCTATGCATGTCTCTATTTGTACTGGGTGTTGAAAATATGGGGATGGTTAATAGCAGTTGTTGAATGAATGAATGAATTAATGAATATTACAGCTAGTTTCTTTTATCTTTTTAATGGACTTTTATATTTTCTTTCTAAACCTTTTCGCATATAATTCCATAATAAGAGGGCATTTTTTATTTTATCATGCTTATTTTTTTAAGCACAAAAACATTTTTAAAAACTGTTTCTATTGCTATGTCTTTGAATTTATTATTTCCTCCCCTCATTTTAGGGGAAAAAAAGAAAGAAAAAAAATCTTTTGGTCTATGTTGTGCAATGGAGGATATGTAACAGAACAAAAGAATGAATCATTTTAGAAATACAGCAAAAAATCACTAGTTTAGATGACAAAATTTTTTAATTTCTAATACTATGTATAAGAATTCTCAGTTCAGCAAACTTCCTCTTTATAATGCAAACTGCTTTTGTAAATAAGAGTGCAGAGACTGTCTAAAATATTTAAGAGAAATTCAGCACTCCACAGTACTTCAGGAATACTGATGGATATCTAGGTATATGCTAATTATCATCATTTTTATCTCTTCATTAAAATAAATGTCACCCCTAAGAACTCTAATGATGAATCATCTATGAAATATACTCCTCATTTCCTATTGAGATAGCCAAGTTCCTTCACTTCCTGTCCACTGCTGACCTTGGGAAGTTTTGTCTTCAGCCCCTGGGCACTCTGAGCCTGCAGGACCCAAAGCACACCAGGTGCTTTAAACCTTCATGATTTGGTCGTGTTACCACTGACTGGGCCCACTTTAACTATGGTCTGTGATTTCTCTCACCCTGTTTTGTCTTTTCTGAATCTCCTGGTTGGACTGAGTGTTCATCTTCTTCTTATCAAAGCCCCCTCTGCATAATGATCCTGTCACTTGGCCAGGAACAGAAATTGGGTGCTGCTCACTAAAATGATCCAAGCACCAATCATTATTCCAGGCACAGGATAGGCAATCCGTCCAATACCAACTCAACAGCTACATATGAAATATTTTGCAGAATAAAAGTGAACAAAACCACATTGCCATTATTTTATAACTAGAGGCCCGGTGCATGAAATTTGTGCATGGGGGTGGATGTCCCTCAGCCCAGCCTGCACCCTCTCATATCTGAGATCCCAGCAGCCTGTTTAGGCCTGAAAGTCCTTTTAGGCCTGATCCCAGTAGGATTGGGCCTAAAAGGGCAGATGGACATCCCTCTCACAATTCAGGACTGCTGGCTCCCAACTGCTTGCCTGCCTGCCTTTCTGATTGCCCCTAACCACTCTACCTACTAGCCTGATTAGTCCCTAACCACTCTCCAGCCAGCCTGATTGATACTTAACTGCTCCTTTACCAGCCTGACTGCTTCCAACTGCCCTCCCCTGCAGGCCTGATCACCCTTAAATGCCTTCCTCTGCAGGCCTGGTCCCCCACTGCTCTCTCCTGCAGGCCTGGGTCCCTCCCCAACAACTGCCCTTCCCTGCAGGCCTATTCACCCCCAACTTCCCTTCTCTGTCAGCCTGGTCACCCCTAACTGTCCTCCCCTGCAGATTTGATTGCCCCCAACTGCCCTCCCTTGCAGGCCTGGTCACTCCCAACTGCCCTTTCCTGCTGGCCATATTGTGGTGGCCATCTTATGTTGACATGGGGGTAGCCATCTTGTGTGTTGCAGTGATGGTTAATTTGCATATTACTCTTTTATTAGATAGGATAGAAGCCTGGTGTATGGGTGGGGGCTGGCTGGTTTGCACTGAAGGATGTCCTGGATCAGAGTGGGGGTTCCTTTAAGGTGTGGGGCAGCCTGGGCAAGGGGCCTGTGGTGGTTTGTAGGTTGGCCATACATTTCAGTGACCCAAGTGGAGGCCCTGGTTTCTGGGACTTATTTATCTTCTGTATTTGAAACTTTGAAGCCTTGAGCGGAGACCAGGACAGGTCAGGATGGGCAGAAAGCTTGGCTTCCTCCATTGCTGGGAAAACCCAAGCCTCCTGCTCACTCTGTAGCTGCAGCCATTTTTGTTGGGATTTATTTACCTTCTATAATTGAAACTTTGTAGCTTTGCATGGAGTCCAGGGCCTGCCAGAGTGTGCGGGAAGCTTGGCTTCCTCCATTGCCAGGGAGACCCAAGCCTCCTGCTCACTCTGTGGCTGTAGCCATCTTGATTGGGTTAATTTGTATACTTGCTCCTGATTGGCTGGTGGGCATGGCTTGTGGGTATAGCAGAGGTATGGTCAATTTGTATATTACTCTTTTATTAGATAGGATTTAAACAGGTCTTCAGCTTAATTGCCTGACTAGTAAGATTGCATTGTTCTCTTAATATTGTATTATTTACCTGAAGGGATTTCATGATCATTCAATGGAATGATGTATGTAAGAAAAATGTATAAAGTACTAAACAGATGTGAATAATTATTCAAATTTCTGTTATTGAACTAAAATTATAATGTTTTAAAATAGAATTATTTAAAATTATTTTTGTCCTTTCATATATTCTATATGCTGTTAAAGTAAACATGACAAAATTAAATCATTTCACAAGCCATGTGAATTCTAATCAAAGCAAACATACTAATGAAGCTACAATGAAAAATTGGGGATGTGATGTGTCTTTCACTTCAGAGAATTTATGCTTTTGCTCTGACTACCATATGTTATAAATACCAGTGCATTCTCTGGAACATATCTCATAGTGACTTTAGTAAGTACAAAATGGACTTGGGCAAATAAATTGTCATTCAATTATAGTAAATTAGAGGCCTGGTGCACAAAATTGTGCACTGGGGGGTGTCCCTCAGCCCAGTCTGCACCCTCTCTAACCTGGGACCACTTGGCAGATGTCCGACTGCCTGTGGGATTGGGCCTAAATTGTCAGTCAGATATCTCTCTCACAATCTGAGACTGCTGGCTTTTAACTGCTCACCTGCCTTCCTGTCTGATTGCCCCTAACCACTCCCCTGTCAGCCTGATTGATGGCTAACTGCTCCCCTGCTGACCCGATCACCCCCAACTGCCCTTCCCTGCTAGCCTGGTTACCTCCAACTGCCTTCCCCTGCTGGTCTGGTTGTCCCCAACTGCCCTACACTGCAAGTCTGGTTTCCCCCAACTGCCTTCCCCCGCAAGCCATCTTTGACCACATGGGGGCAGCCATCTTTGACCATATGGGGGTGGCCATCTTGTGCAAAGGTGTGAGGGTCAATTTGTATATTGCCTTTTTATTATCGATATATAGGATTACCTTCTTGGAATTTGTAGTTTTCAGTAATATCATTCATGCCATCTCCTCCAATTTGTTTGGTCACAATTAATTTCCCAATGTGGGTGGTATCAACAGCTTCCACCACATGAGTGCCATCTTTTTTAGCTGTAATGTAAACAAGATCACTGTTGACCTAAAAACAGGAAAAGAGAGCATTAGCTGTCATAAAGTGTCTTTGTTACCAAAATCTCTACCTCTCAATGGTGTAGTCATCTAATACCCCTAGAGTTGGTATGTTTCAAGAACACTGGATTCATAAGGCTAAACTCACTTAAAAACTATTCTATATGGAAATCTAGTCTAGATTAATAATCAGGTATTTTTAATTAAGAATATTTAGAAGTGGGACTCTCAGTTGTCTAAACATTAATCACTTCTTTCTCCCTTTTTTTCTTTTCTTTTATACTCTGAGGATATATTTATTGGTGAGAGAGAGAGAGAGAGAGAGAGAGAGAGAGAGAGAGAGAGAGAGATATTAACTCCCATACACGCCCAAACCAGGAATCAAACCCACAACCTAGGTATGTGCCCTGACTCACAATGGAACCTGAAACATTTTGATGTTGAAGACAATGCTCCAACCAACTGAGCCACCCGGCAAAGGCTCTTCCCCTTTTTTCTTGCTGGTAAATCCTCTCAAGAGAGAGCTGAAAGTACCATGTCCATTACTTTCTTTCCCAGACTTCTTTTAAGCTAGCAGTAACAGCGTGACCTACTTCTAGGAAAATGAGAATCTCAGTTGGGTGGCTTCTGGGAATGACTTTTTATAAAAGGAGAGCAGTACTTGGAGAGTTCGCCCTACTCTTTCTGCTTTGAATGTTTTTATGTGAAGTGAAGTGACACTTGGAGCTGCTTTAATCATCCTGAGACAGTGAAAAGCAACATTGCCAACAATACAAAGATGGTAGAGCAGAATGATAAGAAGCATTTAAGGGCTTCACAATGCTGTTAAATGGCTAAGCCAACCTTGGGATATCTACTTCAGGTGTGTGTCATGTGTCACTGAGCCACTTTTGACTCCTGGTGATTCTGTGAGTGAGTGATGTTCACAATGTCCTGTCCTCAACAGTCCTTCTCAACTCCTGTAGACTCATGCCTACAGCCTCTTTTATGTAGCCAGCCCATCTCATATTTGTTTTCCCTCTTTTCCTACTGCCTTCTACTTTCCCCAGCATTATTGGCTTTTAAAAAATATATATTTTATTGATTTTTTTACAGAGAGGAAGGAAGAGGGATAGAGAGTTAGAAATACCGATGGGAGAGAAACATCAATCAGCTGCCTCCTGCACACACTACCTTCCCTCCCCCCAGATACTCAGGATGTGCCCACAACCAAGGTACATGCCCTTGACCAGAATTGAACCTGGGACCCTTGAGTTCACAGGCCAACATTCTATCTAGTGAGCCAAACTGGTTAGGGCAGTTATGGTCTTTTTTTAAAGAAACTGCCCTTCTAATGATGTGCCTGGAGTAGGACAGCTTTGATTTTGTCATTTTTGCTCTAGAAACCATTTGTTCATTTTCTGTGGTCCAGGGTATCCTCCAACATCATATTTTAAATAAACAATTATTTTTTCCTACCAGCCTTACTTTGTACATAGTAATTGGGAATAAGAGGGTGTGGGTGGTCTTAGCCTTGGTCTCTAAGGACACATCTGTGCTCTTGGTGATCTTCCCAATGCTTTCATTGCTGTCCTTTGAGTGTTAGCCTTCTCTTGATTTCTTGGCTTCAGTCTCCATTTGAAGTGATGTCCAAGCCAAGATAAGCAAAATCTTTGACAACTTTGTCTTCACTATCTATGTCTTCACTGTTTATTTCTACAGTGGAATAGTAAGAACAGGGGATGCTGGAAGAAATATAGGACCCAGGCTGTGTAACGTTGAGCAAAGTACTGAATCTCTGGGTTTAAGATCGCTGTCTCCACAGGGCTGGTAGGTAGATCAGTATTACTTCTGAAAACCCTATGTTTAAGACCAATTTTTTTTTTTAGAATGGAAGGAGTCTTAGTGGTCACCTACTCCTTCCTCCACATTTGAAGAAACTGTGGTCATGCAGAGCCTGGCATTCCACTGTGGAATATGGCACTATTTTCAGCACATCACAGACTTGCCTCTGGATCAGGCACATGCACAGGCACTTCCTGCACAGCCTGAGTGAGGTGCAGCGCCCCCGGGGACTCAGCAAAGGTGGGTTGGGGCAGAAGGCAGCAGGGGCCTCTCTGCAAACTCCTGCTCATGCCCATGGAGTGGAAACACATGTCCACTGCTGCCAGAGGCCACACTCTCCACCACAAAGGATGGAGACTTTCTTCAGAATTCAGGACAGAGTTTTCTTAGTTCATTGATTCCCAAATGGAGATAACGGCATGGCACATAGCTATGTAGGGAAAGTGCTGGTCCTCTGAGGACACATGGAGGCAGTGGATACCTGCCTGGTCCACCATCTTTCCTGGCCCACCTGCTGTAAAGCTACCTGTGCTCACCATTCCTGCAGCCTGCAGCTGGCCATGCGCCAGGTCCTGTGTACCTCATCTCCTGCTAGCGTTTGGGGGTGCCATTTGGCCCTGATCTCTGTGAGATACTGTTCTTAGCAGAGTACTCAGTGTCAGATTTTGTTTGCTTGCCTGCTTGACTCCTTCATTCATTCAACAAGTATTTATTCATGACCACTATGTCCAGAACTTACTTTCAGCAATGAGAAGCCAGGGAGAGAAATAATCAACACCAAGGCTGGATAGAAGGATAGAGACAACAAAGCACAGAGCAGACTATAATATTTTAGGTGGGGTGGGATGAGTGAGGGCCTCTTTGAGGAGGTGACTGAACAGAGACCAGGATACAGTGAGAGAACAGAACATTCCCCTAAATACAGAAGGGGAAGAGCTTTCACACCAAAAGGAATGGTGTATGTCCAGACTGAAACGAGAGCATGTTTGGATGTTTCCAGGACAGTGAGAAGGTCAGTGTGGCTGAAGGGAAATGAGCAAGGGGTGAGAGTGAAGGGGAAGCCAAAGGCCCGATCACACCAAACCTTGTAAAGATTGATGTCCAATCTTATTTTAAGGGTGATGGAAATCTCTTAAATGGTTGGAGGCAGGGTGGTGACAGGTTTTTATTTACATTTTAAAAGATAATTCTGGCTGATTTGTGGAGAATAGATAGGAAAGGGGGTAAGAGAGGAGAAGGGAGATAAATTAGCAGGCCACTCCCCAGGGCTAAGAGCTGTACAGAGCTCAGAGGGTAACAATGAGGATCATAGACAGGGTTGATGAATGACAGTTTTTAAAGGTATTTCTGGGAGATGCCTGACGGAGGTTAAAAAGAGAAGCCAAGATGATTTCCAAGGTTTACATTATTTGAATGAATGGAAGAATTATTTTGGATCAGAAGAGAAGATGCCAGAAAATGGGCTGCATCTAACAAGTGGTAGCAAAATAAACAACTGTGGATTGAGAACAAAGAATCTGCTGAGAGGCAGCTGCACAGCCTGTCACAGAGGTCTGATGGCCCAGCGCTGGGGAAGGAGTTGGTTACTGTGGCCCTGAGGGATCCATCATGACTGCTGCAAACCCAACCCAGTGCCAGGGAGGGAGGCAAGCGTGTATGTGTGCACATGTATGTGCACGTGTGCATGCATGTGTGTGCAGGCATGTGTGTGGGTATGAGTGGGATGATGTGAAGGAGGTAACATATCCAAGCAGAGGAAGCTTAGCAGCAGAGGAGCCACTGCTCCCGAGAGCTTAGTGATGGTGAAATTCAGAAGACGACTCCAGACTCCCAGGACTGTCCTGCTCCCTTCACCCCTACCTCTTTGGAGGCCCGAGGATACCACTATTTGGGGAAAGAAAAGGCAGAGGGCCCTTCAGAACTGAGAAACTCACCCCAGCACTGAGGTGAAGGCAGCAGGAGAGAGAAGTAAGTTTTAAGCCCTGAAAGGAATCTGTAAATGCTAAGGATAAATTTCCAAAATGGAGGAGGAGTGGAAAAGGAACAGAGGTAAGAAGCTTTCCCTCATGCCCCCTCTTATTTGGCCTTCTGCTTTCACTAAAGGAGAAGAGCAAAAAAGCCCGGAAGTGAGTGGGAGTGACCAGGGATGTCAGCATCCAGAGGATAAGGAGGGGCAGACTCCAGCGGGTGCCGGCCTGCCTGTGGGGAGAGGCCAGCTCCCCCAGTCAGGAGGTGGAAGTGGAAAGAGAGGACAAGGCCCAAAGGCTGAGTCATGGAGGCGCCCCCATGGGATCTGACTTTAGGTTCCCGGGAGAAAAGATTCTTCAGACCCTAGTTAACAGCTCAAACAGCTCTTATAAATGACTCAGCCCTGGAGCTCAGCCTGTGCCAGAGCAACAAACGTACACTCTGTCAGACGAGTCTGCAGCGGTGAGAGGAGTAATTATAATCTGCACACCCCGATGCCATCCATAATGCCCGATCTATATTTAATAATAGCAAAAGCATTTGCATTAACAGCTATTAGGCAATTTGCTCTTAGAGGGAGGCTCCTTCCTCTCTCCTTCTTTGCAGCAATAAAGCACAATGAAAATATGAAACAAGGCTTTGTGAATCTTAGAGTGATTTCCTATTAAGAGGTTCTTGTAGCAGCATAAACCCTCAGATGGCAGCTGGGAGGTTTGGATAAATCTTCAAATCCCAAAGTGAAATGGAGGGAATAAAATCCAAACACAGCAACGCCTGTTCTCCCCGGCTTCCAGCAACCGCAAAGGGAGGTGTGGTGGAAGATACCCTGCTCGTTTTGTGCGATTCCCATTTCTGATGGCGCTGTCCAAATGTTTACATTTATTGTACTCTCTAAACATTTTCCAGGCTTGCCTCCTTCTTCGCCCTCGATTGCCTTTTGCCTGGTCCTCTCCAAGGAGACTCTCATTTACAAGATGAAGAGCCCTCTTCTCAGAACCGAAATTCCTCACACCACGTTCCTTCAGCTGTCATCTCTGACACCTCCTGACGCGTCGCTTTTTATGAGGTTGCATAGATACACACCATTGGGATGCCACTGGACGTCCTCTCTGTCTGAAATGCTTCCCTTCCTCTGGCTTCTTTCGTGGCCTCTTTTCTTGAGTAACTGCTGATCACCTCTCAAGACCCAGCTCCAGCACTGACCCCCGAGGGAGCATCCAGACGCCCCTCCCAGGGCTCCTGCCACCAACGTCTCCTCTGGTGGCTATTACGAAGATGTCCTTCCTGTCTGTCCCTAGGTCACTCTCCCACCCTAGACATGATCTTTGGAGTCCTAATTCAGTCCCCGTCCCATATTTCTTAATTAATGAATCTGTATATATAAATGCAGACCAGTTATCACCTACACAACCCATCGGCAAGTCCCATAGCATCTCTTGTGCTATTATTATTTAACTTTTGATGTGTTTATGTACTCCATCTCCCATAAAGCATCAAGTTTTTTAAGGACATAAGCATCACATATTAATAATAGTTATTATTCTAGTCCTAGAGTATGATGATTAGAAAAGCAATTTCTTTTGAGGAGGGGAAAAATCTCAAAACATCTAGGAAAGAAAATGTTAGCTAAGAACTACATGTACAATGAAGAGCCTGACTGGAATGATACCAGTGCTCTATTGTTTGAGGTGTTAAGAGGTGGGGAGGAAAGCAGCACGTTCCCCGGCTTCCCACTTACCTCTGCAAAAACGAAGGGTGCATCAAACTGGAAGCAAACGTGGCCATGCTTAATGGCTTGAACAGAGGCCGGGCCACACCGGTACATCCCTGCATCACACAGAGGAGAGAGTGTGAGTCTTCACATCTGTCCAGACACAGGACAGATGTGACACTGAGGTGGCTCTGCAGAGGCAAGTGTGGCACTGATTTAGCTCAGATGCTTCCCATGCCAGAGAGCAGGTGACCAGTGTGTGCAATCAGAATGGTTTTATTGGAAACGCCTCCTCAATCCAAAACTTTAAGCCGTAAAAAAATGCAGGGCATCACCATTCCCATGTCTATTCTTCCACCTACCAACACACATTCGAGAGTAGGTGCCACGCTCCCATAACATTTATGCTTCCACCGTGGGTGTCTGCAATGTTGGGAATGATGATGTCCTCAGTGCTGTGTTGTTGATTTGTGTTTTGGACATTTGTGCACCTGAGGTTTGTATAATTTTGTTAACCATTGTCACCCACAATAAATTCAATAAAAAGAAAAGACAAGGAAAAAGAAAAAGACAAAAAAACCAAGGTTAAGTTTGACTGGAAAATTCAGACACTAGCCACACATTGACCAATATACCATCTGCACTGAGAAAGTCAATAGGCCTACGTTTAAATTTACAAAGTTTTTGATCTCTAGCTAATAAGAGATTTTTTATTAGTCATTCTGAAGTCTCATCAAGATATAGTGTGGACAAAAATAGATTTACAGTTGTGAGTGCGCAAAACATGGTGGTGTTCTAGCATTAATATTATTTATTAATTATTGTATTATTTTCCATCCCAACAGCTGTAAACCTCCTTTGCCCCACCCTGTATAATCCAAAACACCAGGAATCATTGAACTTTCTCCTTTAGAACCCACTAAGACTCTCTTGTAATTGCATGATGAATGTTTATGTGTACCTGTATACACACGCGCACACACACATCAGTATCTTATATCAACAACTGGGGAAATAAATATAATGTCCCCAGGCCACTACCTTTTATCACCACTTTAAAATTAATGGAGGCTTATGATTTGAGTTTATAAAAATCCAGGGGGTCATACTATCACTCAGTGCTTAGCATAATTTGCAAGTTAGACAACAAATATCCAAAGTCTCAAGTTTTGAAAGAAATCATACAATATAAAAATAAACCGGTTCTGGGAAAACACTAGTGTTTTTAGTCCTTTATTTTCTCTCCTGCCTTGTTTCTTACCACTGTATACCAAGGAGGGTGGAGGTATGTTTTACAGCCTAAAGTGCTGACACAGATGTTTTTCTCCTGTCTTCAAAATTGCTTATCAAAGCAGGAGTAGAAGAATCATATATGTTAAGTTTTATGCTTTTTCTAAAAGTTATGAAGTAATCCAGGGAAAGGCAACAATTGAATTGAAATAAAACCTGACTGACAGGTGGCTAGTACTGTCTGTGAGCACAAGGACACCCTTCTGCTATGGGTTTCCCCTGAGAGTGTTTCCCACACAGGAAGTACAGTCACAAAAACAACATGAATATCAGCAGTCAAACAGTTCTCTCAAAAGAGGATGCAGGTTACCATCACTGTTTTCCTGGGGGGTGCTGTCCACGGCCTGCCAGCCTCCAAATCCAACAGGAAGATCAGGCCTCGTCATCCAGGCTTCATTCCAGCAGTGGTAGTTCCTTGGAAAACACCACTCCAGTGAGATTAAACTTCCCATCACACTCAATACTCCAAAACATAAAAAAGTAACCCTAAGTCCTGAGGATATGTTATCTCTCTCTCTCTCTCTCTCTCTCTCTCTCTCTCTCTCTCTCTCTCTCTATATATATATATATATATATATATATATATATATATATATATATATATATATATATATAAATCCAAGGGCCCTCATGATAGAAACAACCAGATGTACAACCAAATAGGCTGCATGGGGCAACCAGGCTGGCAGTAAGGGCAGTTAGAGGCTACCAGCCTGTCAGGGGCAAAGTTGGGGGTGAACAGGCTGGCAGGTGGGGGCAGTAAGGAGCAACCAGACCATCAGGGGGGCAGATGAGGGTGACCAGGCAGGCAGGCTGGTGAATAGTTAGGAGCCAGCAGTCCAGGTTTGTGAGAGGGCTATCCAACTGCTGGTTTTGGCTGGCAGTCAGACATTACCTGAGGGGTCCCAGATTGCAGAGGGTACAGGCTGGGCTGAAGGGACCCTCCCCCCATGCACACATTTCATCCATGCACAAATTTCATGCACTGGGCCTCTAGTCTACTAATATTGGACTAGATTAAACTGAATCCAGGACTTCTAGAGATGTCCTGGTGTTCTAGATTTGAGTTTGCAAGGCAGATCCATTCTCATGGGTATCCCTAAGGGCACTTACATAACTGGACATAGCTCTTCTCCTGCTAATATCAGTTTCAAGGACCCCCAGAAATATTCTAATCAGTGCATTAAGCAGTTTTGATCTTAACTCTCCTCTGATGCCTAATGAAACAGAACTTACTATCTACTAAGGGGGTAAGAAAGAAAAGTTAATTGAAAATAAAATACATACATCTTTGAGTTTCTTTTATATTTATGTACATTAGATTTATAAAAAGCATATTCCTTGTAACAAGCAATAAAATGCCTGTATTTATATCATTGCCATGGAAACTATAACATTAACTCATAATTATAATTGTCTATAATTTGTGGCAAATTTCCATTTTCTGTTCAATAAGATGGAAAGGTTATCAGGGCAAGTGTCTCTTTACACTTTATAAAACAAAGGTGGACAACCCATGAACTAATGGCCATGCAAAACTTTTCCCAACTTTGCATATGACACTGGAGACAAGAGCATGAAAAATAATGTCATCATGAATAGTATTATTATGTCCCTGAAAAGACCTGAAATTATGTGACAATACAGGAGCAAATTAGCTCATTAACCCGACTGCATGACAAAAAATTCTCATAGAGGAACAACAGTTAATGGTGGGGATGTCATTGCAGCAGTGTTTGTTTATAGCACTGATGAATTTCAGCTCCAACTTTTATCCAGCCTTTTCCTAAATGTCCTACAAACTAGTAATACATGCATTTCCCCATCTCTCTCTGAGAACAGCTCAACATTTATTGGCTCAATTCAGAGGTGTTTATTTAATTGTGCACCCATTATATGTCAGGCGCCCTGCTAGATAGTGGAGATCTACAAAGATCAAGACATAGGTTTTGCTCATAAGTAGCCTCACAACTTAGGAGAAATGGCAAGCATGTACTAGTAAACTAATTAGTCAAACATTTTATAAGGTTTCTGAGAGGCTTAAACAATGTACTCCATATAAAGCTCTCTACGCCTGGCACGTGTAAGTGCTCAAAAATGGTAACTTTCTGACATTTAAAAATAATTGATGTGGTGCATGCTACACTGGAAATTTATCTGAGGTGCAATTGGTGTCTGTGGGAAACTCTTAGGGAATATGGGAAGGCTTTACAGCAGAAATGACATTTGAACTGGCCCCAGAAGGTTAGCAGGTCAGCAAAAGGAGTAAGAACAAAGTTGTGGAGGCATGAAATAGTCAACACGGTGTATTGGGGAACTATATGCTGTCCCTGTGGCTGGAGGGAATCTTGTTTGCATATTTGTGTGTGTGAGATTAGAGAGATGGCAAGTGAAGGTGGGCAGGAAATCACAACACTGACAAATACCTATGACACTCACTGAGTGCCAGGCACCATTCTAAAACCTTTCTGTGTATTGACACATCGGATATCCCTGGTACTCTATTAGAAAGGCACTGTTATTTATTATCCCCAGTTTACAAGGGAGGAAAATGAAGCACAAAGAGATCACACACAGCTAGTCTATATTAATAAAAGGGTAATATGTTAATTATACTAGGAGACCTTCCAGACATACTTCTGGACAAAGCCATGGTGGTGGGGCCAAGGCAGAGGCAGTTAGGGGTGATTAATCCAAGAGGGAAGGCAATTGAGGGCTAAGCAGGCCAGCGGAGGGAAGAGGGGACAGTTGGGTGCCAGCAGACCAGCAGGCAAAGTGGTTAAGAGTGATCAGACAGGCAGGCAGGTGAGTGGTTAAGTGCCAGCAGTCCCAGATTACTAGAGGGATGTGCAACTACCAGCAGTCCCAGGATGTAGGTAGGGTTTAAAGACATCCTTACTCCCTGTACAAATTTTGTGTACTAGGCCACTAGTTAGTAATAAAATTCCAGGGTCCATGCTTTTAAATGCTATTGGTAAAAATGCTATAGGTAAAAATGAGAGTGTGAAATCCTTTATCCCAAGTTAAATAAAAATTCTTAGGAAGTTAAATTTGCAGTTCTGTATTTGTGAAAGGAATGTGAAGAGGCAATATGATAGATTGAGCCAAGTTACATCATTCTCCCCACCCCTAGCCATACATGCACACACACCCAAAAATAGTGCAATAGTTGCATTGGATCAAAAATATGTTCACTAAAGAAGTGGTCTTCACAAGTGGAGAGGGAGAGGAGCCACTGAGTGGTTCAACTGATGTCTTATAAAGATGTGAAGGAACCAGAGGAGCTGAGGAAAACTTTCACATTTGCAGTAGGATGGTTCTGTCTACCAAGACTGAAGGAAGGAGGAAGGGAAGGAGGTTTGTGTTGAAGGGAGTGGTGCAGGGTGGGTGACAAGGTCGTTTAGGGTATGATAAACTTGAGTGCCTGTGGCAAATCCAGGAGCTGAAACCCAAGAGGAATTTTTATATTCACATGTGGCTCTCAGGATTTGATGAGGAGGAAGCTCCTGGTATCTTTATTGATGATGGAGGAGAGTGAGGAAAAGAGCCAGATGAGGAGTGACTGGGAAGGGGAGTGGCGCAGTGTAGATTTCTCAGCCAAAAGTGATATAGACTGTGAAGGGAAGAAGAGAAGATAGGGCAATGGCTATAAAGAATGCAATGTATGGAAGATTGTTTTATTTTTACATTAGGAGAGATTGTCATGCTTGTAGAGAAACACATCATCAAGAAAGAGTGAGAATAAAAGAAGAACAAGGAGCATTGGCCTAATGGCTTGTTGGTTGGAGTATAGTTTCTTCCAATAAAATGTTGCAGATTCAATTCCTGGTTGAGGTGCATAGGGGAGGCAACCATTGGAAATTTCTCTCGCACATCAATGTTTCTCTCTCTCTTCATTACTCTCTCTCAAAAATCAATAAAAACATATCCTTGGGTAAGGATTAGAAAGAGAAAGAAAGAAAGATAGAATAAAAATAGATGGAAAAAAGAAGGCTCCAATAAGGAGGATGCAAGGGATCAAAAGCAGCACCATGGACAGGTGTGGGGAGTGAGGTATTGGCTGCAGGAGAGGGAGGTGCAGACCTAGATCAGGGTGGGGTATAGAGGCCCTGGGGTAGGAACATGAGGTTGGCTCTACTTGAGAGCCTCTATCTTTGCTCTGAAGCTGGGAGAAAGGTCACCGTATTAAACAATGACTGATGGCCTTTCTTTTGAACGGTGAAGGTTGCACCATCGGCAGAGAGATCCAGAAAACAAAGCAATTCCACATGGACACAGGCTTGCTTCCTACACAACAAGTGCTGCTTGCCAACCCTGACTTACACCACCACCCTAGCTGAAGAAGCTCCAGAACCTCCTGACTTAAATGAAAGTGTCCTGGGCAAGGTTCAGCCTTAATCAAGATAAACAAGATTTGTAGTAAAAATCTTAGACAAAAACTTTTATTTGAGGGCAATATATTTTTTTTATATAAGCAGGAGATGGGTAAAGCTTTATTTTCTCTCATTATGATATCTACATATTTGCAATCTCTTCCACTTTATGCTAGGACTGAGGCCTTATTTGTATATTTAGGGTGGGAGAGTTTACTAAAAGGATTGGGAACTTGTTGGGAGTGGGTGAGATGAACATAACTAATTATGTGCCGTCCATCTCACCCAATGCCTTCGAGTTCCAGTGGGCTGGGCCTTAGTCAGTGCTTGTAAAGCCAATGATTGGGCTCCCAGAATGGCGGTGAGCAGAGGGAGGGATGACACCGCGGAAGCCATGGGCCTTACTTCCAGCATGCTGTTCTCTGTTCCCCAATGGCCAGGGAAAGTGTGTTCTGGACCATCCTTGCCATGAGGGTTCCCTTTTGGGGATGTTGAGTATGTCTGGACATTTGTACTTGCTTTTCTATTTCAAGCTCCTCCATGAAAGAGGCTGATAATTAGACAATTCCAAATTTCATTGATCTCCTCTCCAGGTTGGGAAATCTACATGCTTCTTATTTATAGCTTCATTATCTATTTGCTCGGTAGTCTTTCTGCTTTCATCCTGCAGTCTCATCGTATGTGTGGCTTCAATTTGGGGCTCTGTCTTGTTCACCATCACGTTCCCAGCACCAGAGCTGGCCCCCGGGAGGCACTCACCAAGTCATGGTTGCTTACAAGGTTAGGCAGGTGTAATTAAACCTTTGTTTTTAAGATTCAAAGTTTTATATTTTTCTCAGAGCTTCATTGAAGCCTGACTTTGCACAATACTATTGAAATGTGCAGTGTTTCTTTAAAGTTAAAAAATGCATAAACCTTCAAAGTTATTTATTTTCCTTGTTGCCTTGTAGCAGTGTCAAAATTAAAACAAAGTCCCCATTTCATTGAGTGTTGTTATTTAATCAGGTTGAAGATAACTTTTTGGGGGTGGATAATGATGGC